AGGCTGGTAATGAGATTCATGAGATTCATTCATCTGATTGGTACCAAGCAATAGAATACTCTCTGGTTGATATCATATGGAGGGCAGTGTTTGCCTGGCATTGTAGGCTGGTAATGAGATTCATGAGATTCATTTAGCTGATTGATACCAAGCAATAAAATACTCTCTGGTTGATAGCACATGAAGGACAGTGTTTTTATGTCATGTACAGTGTAGGTTTGTTCACCTGATCAATAACAAGTAGAAAAATGTACCTAATCTGCCTTTCCTATTACTACTATTGATCCATCCTTTGATCTTTCAAAAGCATGGATATTTAGGACTAGGTTGCAATCATCTTTGAGACCAGAATCAGGCAGAAAACGAGAACAAAGCTTGCTTGGCTGATTTGACTAGCGTTACGAAGTGATTGCCCACGACATTGTGTGCTAACGCTGTGTGAAAAGAGATTATCAGGTGTCTTGTGTTTTCGTCCTTTACAGCCCTTTTCGAAGTATTTGTACTTCAAACCAGAGATGAACTAAAGAACAGAAATAATAATTTTTTATTCCTCTATTAAGTTTTCAAAGAAAATCAATTGATCGTTTTCATAGCCGTCATGTTGGATGAATCAAACAAAATATTCTTCATTAGTCTCTTGTTATATCATCCAACATGGCCACCGTGCCTTTTGTTCTTTCATTTTCTTGGGAATGGTTGAAAACCAGAAATATCCATCTATCTTTCCGATTCCAATTCCAATCCGTCCGTCCGTCCGTCCGTCCATCCATCCATCCATTCTCCCACCCACCCATCCATCCATTCTCCCACCCACCCATCCATCCACACACCCACCCACCAGATACAAGAATAAACAAAGTATATACTCACTTTGCCTGTTTCAGTAACAGTACAGCATTCATGAACATTGCTGTCACATGTCACCACTTTCTGGACCTTGGTACAATTGACCAATGCTATGTCACTGTCGCATTGATAGCACTGAAGTGCTTGAGCTGTCAATCACAAAAACTTACGAAAATGATATGTTATAGAGAACCAAAGGTGACACTTCAGTTTTGAAGTTTTTGTTTTTGAAGAAAACAAAACATTGTCTGGCTCAGATTTCTGCCATCTTTAAGCGTTCTTGTGCAAAAGGTTCCATTCTCTTCGTTCCTCGAAATTTTTTTTTTTACTAATTTTGAGGTTTTTCCCAGCATTATCGATGGATTTTTGCTAACTAGTCCATGTAAAAAGTTAAAAAAAAAAACAACAAACAAACGTGGAATTGTCTATTAAAGAACTCACGAAGATTACAATGTACCCTGCGCCATCTTGAAAGGTAGCCGTGCCTTTTCATCGAAGCGAGACGAACGGCGAGCTTGCAATGATAAAGACGTGAATAATTGTCCAAGGTGGTAAAGCAAGCAAATGAAATATAAACTAAATAAAAGATAATAAAAGTTCTTAGTTTCTTCTTAAAAAGATTAATGCTATCAAATGATCTAATATCATGAGGGAGATTATTCCATAAAACTGGACCACTCGGTGATTGCGAAAGCACGTGATCCATACGTTTGTAATTTATGCTTAGGTATAACAAATAAACCTTTAGACCTAAAGACCGGTTTAAACGGTACGATTTATACAACACGCTCGCGCCATCGTACAACTCGAGTTGTAGCTTGTAAATCAAGCCTACAACTCCCCTACGACAGACGCGAGTGTGTTGCAGGGTCTGAATGGGGTGGGGGGAGGGGGGGGGGTCCCCGCAGTATCAGTTAACAGCTAAATTTTATCAATTTTCTCAGTTATCAGTTAAATTTTTCGATTGTCAGTTATTACAAACATTGATAATTGATTGTTATGTTTAATAAATAACAAACAACTGGTGAAGTCTATTTTAAAACACTTTTTACCTCAAATTCATATGTTTTTAAAAGGATGACTTTTTAATTTGTCTCCCATAAAATCCGGTAGGTCAATACTGCAATCCCTATTTGTGTATTAGGGTGGAGCTGGGTCTTATTAGTTGTTTCAGCAGAGTTGTTTCGGATTTCTAAACAGTGCGAATACCATGGTCTTGAAGGTATCTACGCAAAGTTTGGGATACACTATCTACATATGGTAGTAAAACTGTTGTTCTGTAGGCTGGCTGGTCTTGTTTTGGTGACTTTCTGCAAGATATCATATTTATTTGCAGGGTTTTTTCACGATACCGCTTGGCATGCTGAGATGTCAAATAACTGGTGCATAAACAAATGGCTAGAGCCAATAAAAAACCTAACAATGGCTTTAATTGTGGAAAGACTGAACCTTACATTTTAAGAAAATATAGATGAATCTTTTGTTATACGTTTATTGTCAATTTAAACATTTCACTGTGCCTTTATTAGTACCTTCTGGACATGATCATAAATCCATTCGTAGGAATGCTCGTACGACCCTGCCTGAACTGGTCACGCAAGCCGGTTTAATGGTCAGCTCATCGTCTTCAGCGCGTGCCTCTTCATCTCAGTGAGTCAAATTCATATTAGTCAATTTGCCCAGTATTTAATTAAAACTGTCACACTATTGTCGTTGACAAATGTTATTGGTATAGACATAGCTTTTGCTGATGCTATCACTATTGATGGCGTAGTTTTCGATATTTCCTGGCACTTTTGAAAGCCGGTAGAGCTTTACAAAATGTAAGTGAAAACTCCTAAGACCGTGCTTTGTTGCCTGCTCCTTGAGGCCAAGAAATTCGCCTAAACGCTGTTTTAATTTTGGCACAAAGAATTGTAAAGCAAAGTCAATGGGTACTAGACTTCAGTGGCGCTCGAACGGAGCTTCCTCGTCCTTTCTATAATAGCTAACAAGAACTTTAACGATACCACTATTTATACTGACCAAAGCGTCCAGCAAATCGACGGAAAGTGATCAAAGGTCAACTCAACTCTATTACATCAGCAATAAATAAGTAACAGATCATCTACTGACACGAGGCAATATGATGGTGAATGGCCTCAAATAGCTTTTGAATAAAAAACAATATATTTTTTGAAATTTATGAATCAAAAATAAACAGTTATCATTTATCTCGTGGATCTCAGTTATCAGCTAAAAAAAAAACCAGAATTCTCAGTTAACAGTTAATTTTTTAGCCGTTTCTCATTTAACCTTTATCCCATTCAGACCCTGGTGTTGTATACGATCGTTGTAGGCAAAAATCGTACCGGCTAAGTGCGAGACGGTTGATACTTATGCAGCTCACTTAGATGAACTGGCGAAATACCATTTAGTGAAAGGGACTATTGTATGTTACCTGTGTGAAGACCCATGCATACAACAGCTATGAAGTACAATGCTGATGCTAGCTTCGTCATTCTGTCTTGCTGGAGTGCACCGACAACATAAGCGCAGAAAGAAATTTACAGATTTATCAACTTTCAGGACTGTGAAAACGGAATTGCCCTATTTCACTATGACGTCACTACTTGTTTGTTTGGGGGATAGAATCGCCAAATCCAATAGAAAATTAAACAAAACTTGCTCCTAGCGAACTCACGGCCCAGGGGTTGTACTCGGGTGGGTATCATGACGGGG